CCCAGCTCTCTGGCTCTTCTCCTTTCTCTGCAGCACAGTCCTGTCTCTCTTCTCAGGGGCTCCTCCTGGGCTCTCGACCCACCCCTATTTATCTCAGTTACCTTCACAAGCCACAGCTGCTGCCCAACTAAGGACCCTGCAGCTGCAGCTCGTTTGGAGTAACTTGGAACCACACAGATCTTACAATACAACATATATTCAGGCCCCCACACATACCTGTGAGACTGGCTGAGCTTCATCACCTCCCCGGAGGAGCACGCTCACCTCGCCTTCGACAAAACCAGACCCCAAAAAGCTGTGAAGTGCCCAAGCTAGAGCAAAGAAAAACAAACCTGAATTCCTCCTCAGCAGAGCTGCCCCAGTCACTCTCTGCCCGCTCACACTAAAGGTTGCTGGAAAATTTGGAAGGTCATAGCACAGTCTGAGAGCAAAGAGAGGGATCCAGCATCTCTCTGTGCACCACCAGCAGCATTTCAGGCCAACCTCAGCTGCAAGCAAAAGCAAAATATTTATTGTTAAAGCCTTCTTCCACAAGAAATCTATGTAAGCTGCAACAGAGGCTTATATTTTGCTGTGATTTTACAAAGCTTACACAAAAGCTATTATGCAGTAAAAAAATCAGGGTAGCAAAGGCTTCATGGGAGGACTAGAGATGAAAATATCACAAAAAGGCTTTCTATTAACACAGGGTTTAAATGCTTCAGTTATTTGTGTGCAGTAGCTGCATTCATTTACAGCTGAGACTACTCTGGGAGTTGTTTTCCATGCATTTTAGAGCTGGAAGAACACAAAGCATATGGCAGCAGTGGAAACAATCAGCCCCACATACAGCAGAGGCTGTTGCCTGACTCTTGGCTCTGCTGCTTGTTTTGGCATTTTCTGAGGCACAATGTGAGGTAGTGCCTCTGCTCCACATCACACTAGAGGGAGGAAAAGGGGAGAATTACAGCTTTCATCCAGATTTCTACATACATTTAGCTTATTCAAACAGTTTAGGGCAAATGAAAGCAAAAATCTTCTTATGTTGCACACGTTTTCATCAGCATCATTAATGCCCTGAGTGGCACTCACTGGTGGAAAGGGGGCTATATTCTTCCTAAGTTTTAAATTTCTTTCTTTATCCACTCAAGAATTTCCTCCTAGGATTAGAAAATAAAAACGAGAAAGGTGATAAAAATGATACCAAATTCTGCTGAGAAGGAGGAGGGAAGACACAGGCATCTATGGCAGAATGCCCCCGAACTGTTCAGAAGAGCAGAAGACAACTCCTGCAGCAGACACTGACCACTGCTGAGGAAGCTGCAGTCCCAGCAGCATCCAAAGACTCAATCTCATATCACAGCTTGATTTGTCACCTCTATAGTTCTTTCTTTTTTTGGTGCAAACCATCACATCAGGAGCAGTTTGGCTTGGAAGGGACTTAAAGCTCACCTCATTCCACCCCAGCCCAGAGCTCTATGGCCAAATAAAGATATTTTGGGGGGGAAGTTATCGAAATAACTCTTTTCCTTCCTGTGGTATATGTCAGTAGAATGGATGGATACAGTTTTCCTGGGGCTATCCTATACCAAGTTGTCCTCATGCTGTTTCCTACAGCAAAGTTTGCTTCACGTTTCACAGCTTTGGAGCTTAGATCCATAGAATATTGATCCCAAAAATGGATTAATCGAGGTCAGGGGCTGACAGCGTACAGCTGGCAATATTGCAAATAACCCTGTTTGTGTCATGCCAACAGCGCTTCATTACTCCACGAGACAAATATTTGTGACAAGCCATAGAATTATAGGGAAGTTTCAGCTGGAAGGAACCTTAAGGATCATCCCATTCCATCCCTGCCGTTCCAGGGACAGCTTCCACTATCGCAGGCTGCTCCAAGCCCCAGTGTCCAACCGGGCCTGGAGCCCTTCCAGGCGTGAATGGCGGACTTTGGGCACTAACTCCTACTTTCATCACTTTCAGGGCTCCCGCGGCTGCGGGGGCCAGACTCACGGTGAGGGGCTCCATCCCTCCCTGCGGGATGAGCGCTGCCGGCCGTCCCTGGGGGCGGGACCGGGCCGGGTCCTGTGTCCCTGGGGGGACGGGAGCGGCGCCAGCCCGACTCTCCCTCAGCGCCTCCCTCCCGGACTACATTTCCCAGCGTGCCCGAGGGCGGGGCAGTGCGGGCCCTGCGCGGTGACGTCACGGGGAGGGGGCGTGGCCTGCGCCAGCGTGAAGCGGGGCTAAGCGGAGAAGGACGCGGGGCGAGCGCGCGGGAGGGCGCGAGGCCGCGGCGGGGCCCCGACCATTGGCTGCCGCGGGGGCGCGCGCCTGCCGGTGGGGGCCCGGCCATTGGCTGGGGGGGGGGGGGGGCGCGCGCGCCGGGGGCGGCGGCGGCGGCAGGACCGGGAGCCGTGAGGGGCTGAGGAGGCGGCGGGACCGCGACCGGCGGAGCAGGACCGCGACCGGAGCGGGTCCTTCCTCCCTCCCTCCATGGGGCCGGGGGCGGCCCTGCCCCGCCCCGCCGCCGCCGTCGTGAAGTGACAGCGCGCTGCGAGGCCAAGGCGCTGCTGCCGGCCCGGCACGGGGCGCGGGGGGGTGTCCGGTGAGTGAGGCGGCGGCGGCGGCCCGGGCTCGCCCCCGCCGCCGCCCGGGGGTCTCGGCGCGAAGGGGCCGGAGCGGAGCGGCCGCGCCATGAACTACCAGCAGCAGCTGGCGAACTCGGCAGCCATCCGGGCCGAGATCCAGCGCTTCGAGTCGGTGCACCCCAACATCTACTCCATCTACGAGCTGCTGGAGCGGGTGGAGGAGCCCGTGCTGCAGAACCAGATCCGCGAGCATGTCATCGCCATCGAAGGTGAGACGGCGGCCCCGGCACGGCGGGGAGAGATAGCGAGCGGCGAGGGGTGCCCCAAAACCTCCCCCAACCCCTGGCCCTGCAACCCCTTACAGAACTTCCCCCAACCCCTGGCCCTGCATCCCCAGAAACCTCCCCAGGCCATGGGGCTGTGCTCCCCCAAAGCCTCCCCAGGCCATGGGGCTGTGCTCCCCCAAAGCCTCCCCAGGCTATGGCCCTGCGCCCCGAAACCCTCCCCCAGCCCGCTGCTCTGCTCCCCCGCACCAAACGTCTGCCAGTCCTGTTCTCCGTCTCAAGCCTCCCCCAGCGCATGGCTCTGTTTATCCACCCCCCCCACCCCGTCCCTTCTCCAAGACCACGGCTCTGTTTATCCATCCCCTCTCAGCCCTCCCCAAGACCACGGCTGTGTTTATCCATCCTCCCCCAGCCCACGGCTCTGTTTCTTACCCCTCCCTCCCTGCTCCCCTTCTTCCCCCCCACCATTGCCGGCCCATGAATAGCCCTGTCCCCGCCGCTCCGCCTCCTCCATGGCCCTGCTCCTCCTCATCTCCCAAGCCCATGGTCCTGTTCCCCACTTCCTCCATCTCCCCCAGCCCCTTGCACTGCACCCCCCGTGCCCCCCAGCCCATGCCCGCGGATCCTGGGGAGCAGCCGCCTCCCCGCTCCGGGCTGCCTGCCCTTCCTTCCTCCCCCCCTCGTTTTCAGGGAGCCGGAGGTGTTCCCGCTTGGTCCCCATCATTTCCTCGGCGCTGCATGCCCCGGGCGGCCCCTGTGTTGGGATTTGTGGGGTTTAGAAGTTATTCTGCTACTCGTCCGCTGCTACTGTGCGGGAGAGCGGCGTGTTCCTTCGGGCTGGGGTGCAGTGGGAAGGGTGATGCTCGCTTTGCCCGCAGAAGGGTTCGGGAAAATGAAATTTTCTCCGGCGCTCCCTGCAGCATGTGATGGAGACAGTGTGGGGCTGTGGTTTGGTGGTGTGAAGCGGGTAAACAAGACGTGCAGCTGGGTTACAGAGCGGTGTCGGTCTGTGCCGTAGTGTGAAAACAGGTCGGGAGGCAAGATGGAGATAACAGCCCTCTAAGCTTAGATTTATGTGCGTCTATCCCCGCAGGAGCACTACAGAGGCTTGAACTGCTTAGGATGCACAAAATAAGGAAAGAAATCACCAGCGTAGGGAAGTCTGCAGATATGTTTTCTTAACTGTCGCTGGAGTTAAAAAGAGCAAACGGTATTGGCTAGGAATATGTATTTTTGTGGAGAAATTTATGGCTTATTTTGCATGATAACTTGCTGAGCTTCACATCGTGTGCTTTTCCAACTGGAGTATCCTGTCGCTGTTTTGGAAGGGATTCAAGGTAGCAGAGTGTGATGTACAGCAGAAACCCACTTGTGTTGGTGGCCTAGCTGCTCTTTAAGTGATATGTAATCCAAAAGTCCCGATGGAAAAGCTGCTATTGAGGTTGTTGCCTGAAGGATTTATTTGCGTGCCTCTGGAGCAGGGGAGCTTGAGCAGACAGATGCTGGTTCTTGCAGTTCACATTTTGGGGTTGGTGTGCTGTGGCACGGCAGGCAGGCTGGCAGTGCCTGTCGTTTATTGCAGAGCGCTCCCCAACTCACATCCACGTCTGACCGAGTGTGTGCTGGAGATTTGTGCACATTCTCTGCTTTACCAGTCATGCTGAGATTATGGTGTGGGGCTGGCCCCTCCTGAGGGGGCTTTGCCTTTTCTTTCCTCTCCTGAGGAGTTTAAAGCTTATTGATACACCTGGTGGGAAGCAGTGTCCCCTTCTCCGTGCTGCTGCTGTTTGCATTTCCGTGGGATGGATGATGCCTGCAGCAGAGTGTTTTTTTAAAGTGATAATTAATACATGTTTGTGAGGTGTAAATGTGTTTGTGAATAAGATGCTCGGGCTCCAGTGAGGTGCCAGGCTGGTGTGGAAGTGGGAGGAGGATGTGGAGCACTGGATGTAGTTATCTCCTTAGCATGTGATAGTCTTTTCATGTATTAATGATTTCTGTTACCTAACTGTGCCTCAGCTCGTTTGTCAATCACAAAGACTCGAAAACCAAAATAGCAGCCTAAAAACATGTTTCAAGAGCTGAGAGGATGAGTAAAGCCTTCACAGATAATTTGCTGTCTAACTTTTATTGGACACTGAGTCATGAGAGCAGCAGCTCTGATAGCTGGGAACGATTTATCTAGAAAATGAATGTATTGTATGTCTTCTGAGGGCTCTTCAGCTAGCTCTTAAATATTTCAAAATGGAATAGTTACAGAGTTAGAGGTAAACAACAACTCCTCGCCCCTTTGGATTACAGCTCCACCAGGCTGTATTTTTTTGTAAACCTCCTTTAGCTAACTCTTTCTCACTGATAGCAGCTTGTAAATCCGTGTGGCAGTGCCATGTGTTGTGTGTAGGAACAACAGACATTTGCCTTGTGGTGGTTGCCTTCCAATTTTGCCGCAAAGAGCTTGGTGTTGTGCTGATAACTCCCCAAATCACAAAATCTTTTAACCTCAGGGTGCTTGAGGTTCAGTGACAGGAATTGTGGTGTGGTTGGCATGTGGCTGCTGTGAGAAAATACCAAGTGACTTCCTGGAACGGTTCCTTCCACTGCAAGGAGAGCTGTACCCCATAAAGAGAACAGAATAGTCTTGTTAAGTGCAGGCTGCTTTAAACACCAGCTCCAACCTACATGTGCTCCTTGAACTGCTCATTTAATGCTCTCCTGCTCAAGAGAGGTTTGACAGCTCTGGAGAAGAACATGCTTGGAATTTTAAGCAATTTGGGACTTTCAGTGAAGTGGAGTTCCTATTACTGATTCCTGGAGTTTTCTTTCCAATGTAAAGTGGCACTGTCTTTCCAGTGCCACTCAATAAAACTTCAGGTTTTATTGGCAGTGTGAACCCTCTTCCTTTTTACATTTGGAGCTCATAGGGGTGTCTGGGCATACTTGCTGGACCAAAGACTGTTGAAATAACCTGAAATTCAAACTCCCCCTTCAGCAGCAGTTGTTTATATTCAAGTGCAAGAGTGCTGTCTAATATGAAGGGAGCAAGTGCTCAACTGGGTCCTGAATTGATTTGTCCTTACTTTTTTGCAGAGATTTCTTGCCTTGTGTTATTCTAAGTTACATGTGATACTGGATAAAACAGTTTGGGTGATAATGCTTCATTGGTTTTTCCTCAGTGGATAAAGGTGCTGAAATAGAAGTGAGCTGCTTCCAGGTTCTTGCATGTCTCACAGTTGCAGAGCCAACAGTGGAACAGCATTTATTCTGTATTTTTCATATAAAGTTCTATAAATGTTAAGTAGCCAATCAGTTTTAGAGTAAATTAGACTGTTCTATTAGCTTAAGGACAGTGTAATTAATATTATTAGTCTGTTACACAGACTTTACCATAGTAAAATCTGCCTTCCCATGTTCTGTAGTTCACAGCACCACGGCTTGGTCAACATGAAACATTCCTTGTACCAAGGATGTTGTGTGCTTAGAAACAGGGAGAGAAAATATGAATTGCCTTCAGTGGCCTTTGGGGTACTGCAAATATCCTGAAGTTCCATGGTGTGGTAACAGCTGAATATGTCAGTTCCAGTTTCTCACCCTCCACGCTCAGACTAGCACTATATTTTTGTAAACTTTAGCAAGATGGAAAACCAAGGAAAGATGGTTCAAAATCTAATTTTTAATGCTTCATCAAAGACTTTAAAACACTTTAGCCAAGATGATGTACACATTATTAATAGTCTATAAAAATATTAATATATTAGTACTAACATGCTGATGCAGCAGGTGTTGAGCATATCAAATAGTTTTTATTTATTTATTTATTTAAGGTGAAACTATTGCTTTAATTGGTAATAATACCATACCAGACATCATGTAGTATGAATTGCTGTGTTCCAGAGCGTTTTGTGTTCTTTATTCTAGTTTTTCTGTTAAAAGCAAATTTTTAAAAAGCATGTTGTAAATGCAAATTTTAATTTTGAAATGATGATTATTAAGTGATTGTGAAGAAACACTTGAAGTCGTAGGGGAAATGAGATTGTACATTGGAAATAACTTGCTCAAGGCAGTGCAAAGATCCACTGGCAAGGGTGTGGGTGGGAGAAAATGGGAGAAGGTACAAATCTTGCTTTATCTTTTTCATTCTGGTCACTTTTAAAAGTACTGTTTGCTGAAAATAAAGTAATTCAGGGTGCAGCTAAAACTCTTGGAGTACCTGAGCCTTGGAGGCATCTGATTGTTGTAGCTCCAACTTTGCAGCCCTTGGATGCTGGCACTGAGTCTGTTGAGAACAATGTTACAGCAGGAGTTGTGCTCAGTCTGGAGTTGAGGCAGCAGTGGTGTCTGAACCCTTCTGCTGCTACTGAAGGCTGAGATGAGTTATTGAAAAATGCATGTGCTGCCAAAGCATTGTTCTCTAGGGAAATAAACTGCTCCAGGCCAGGCTGGGCAGGGCTGGGAGCAGCCTGGGACAGTGGGAGGTGTCCCTGCCATGGGCTTTAAGGTCCCTTCCAGCCCAGACCATTGTGGCTGTCTCTGGGTACTTGTTACTTTATTTCAGTACATCAGAGGAATGGTGGGACTGTTCAGCTCTTTAGGCATCACTGGTCAAAGCTGAAGAAACCCCCAGATATCACATAAAACAATTGCATCTAGAAACCACAATAGCAACTGGCCTCTTTGTGCTTTTGTTATGTTTGCATGTTGGAACTGTGGCTCAGCCCGTGTAATTGGACAGCTCAGATTCTCCCAAGAGCCATCTTGTTTCACATTGCTGGCTGGGCACAGCAGAGCATGGCAATGTGCTGCTTGTGTTGGTTTGCTGGGGATTAAATCCAGGTGATTCAGGGGTGGGGAATCTGCCCACAGAGCTGCTGAGTGAGTGTATCCAGGTGGATCCTGAGCTTGCACGAACACAGTGAGCATGGGCTTGGGTGAGGGTTGTTTCTGTCACAGCCAGGGCAGCGTGTTGGGGACGAGTCTCTTAATGCCCT